CCCACCATTATTAAGTATCTAGAGCCAACTACGGGTGATCTATTTAAGGCTAGATACGCGGATTGTCATTTTAATGAATCCGAGTTTCCTACTATAGGTGGAGAGACGAACAAGCTGGGTAAAGCAATAAAAGAAATATAATGAAATCAAACATCCTTAAATTGGCAAGATCCTCGGACTCTGGCATGAGAATCAGAGGTCCATAAGATTATACATTTGAAAAGCTAGCTAATCAATTGCCAGATTCCTTTGCTGACCCAAAGAAAGTTACAAAAACGTACATACCAGCTTGTAATGCACCAGTACGTATTGATATCCAAAAGCGAATCAATGAAATTGCTACCGAGTCTAACACACGAAAGAAACGTGGTAGACCAATAAGTTCCAATGATAAAAACCCTCGGAAATTAAAGAAAGGTGCAATAGGAATCCGAGGTTACTAAGGAAACCATCCCAGACATGGAGATAAGGCCGGCCGGCTCTAAGGTACAGGTACCATATAATGTAGCTTGGGACGCCAAGCTGCAAAGTATTAAAGGTCCTGACCATAATAAATCTCAAATCGATTATATCATGTCTGGAACATAATGGAACATATAAGAAATGTCGACATAAGATGATTTTGCATGCAAGGTAGCACTTGAATTTATGAATATAAATGAGGATCAGGAGCCCACGTCTATACTAGAGTGCACTCAAAGACTTGATTGATTAAATGGTACAAGACCATAAAACGTGGAGCTAAGAATCATTAAGAAAAGGAATGAGTTTGGTCCGACCTTAAGGACACCATTCGATGTAAAAACCAGTAGGACACAAATGGGTCTTTGTGAAGAAGAGAAATGAGAATAATGAAATCGTGAGATATAAGGCACGGCTTGTAGCACAAGGATTCTCACAAAGACCGGGGATAGATTATGAAGAAACATACTCCCCTGTGGTGGATGCTAAGACATTTAAATTTTGCTAAGTCTGGCTATATAAAGAAAAAGACTTGATTTGCGGCTAATGGATGTAATGCCTGCATATTTATATAAGTCCACTGGATGATATATATGAGATTACCAGAGGGTATTGAGCTCAAAGATAAAGATAAGAAAGGGTCTCGAGACCAATACTGCATAAGGCTGAACAAATCACTTTATGGACTGAAACAAAGTGGACGCATGTGGTACAATAGATTAAGCGAGTACCTAGTCAGAGAAGGTTATAAGAATGATCCCATCAGTCCATGTATCTTCATAAAGAAATTTGCAAACGAAGGGTTTGTGATAATAGCAGTATATGTGGATGATTTGAACATCCTTGGAACCTCTGGGGAAATCGCCCAAACAGTCAAATATCTAAAGAAAGAATTCGAGATGAAAGACCTAGGCAAGACAAAATTCTGTTTGGGATTGCAACTTGAGTACGTGAATAATGGAATCCTTGTGCATCAAAAGGCATATACTGAAAAAGTACTCAAGAGATTCAATATGGACCAGACCCACCCATTGAGCAGCCCAATGGTGGTGAGAAGCCTCGGATTGGATAGTGATCCATTCGGTCCAAAAAAGGATGAGGAAGAAGTTCTCGATCCAGAAGTGCCATACCTTAGTGCCATAGGAGCGTTAATGTACTTGGCTAGCCACACTAGACCAGACATATGTTTTGCCGTGAACCTCCTTTGCCTAAATTTAGTTCATGATCAACCCAAAGGCACTAGAAAGGTTTGAAGGAAGGTTTGGTTAAATTTTAAATTCTATTCTTCCTATGTTTGTTTATTTGGGTTTTATTCTATACTGATCTAACCAAAGAAGGTCTAGTTTGCTTTGGTTTAGTTTGTTTTGCTGATGCAGGTAAAATCAGATTATGGCATGGTCAATAGATAGGAACTACGTGTGGCTTGATCCCTTCCAAGGGTACGTAGGCAGCCTTCTTCAAGGCGCAGCTACTACAACATCAAAGACCATCATATGAGGAGACAACACGCCTGTATCGCTCAGCTCAAGGACGGCTACATCAAGGGAGATCGGACGAAGCACATTCTAACAAAGTTCTTCTTCACGCATGACTTGCAAAGGGATAAAGAAGTTCGAGTGGTACAAGTTCGATCCAGCGACAACTCAGCCGATCTCTTTACCAAGGCATTACCAACATCGACATTGAGGAAGCTCACGCATCAAATTGGAATGCGGAGACTTAAGGACTTGCAGGGATGACCAAAACAGGGGGAGTAATACGTGCTGTACTCTTTTTCCTTAACCATGGTTTTGTCCCAATGGGTTTTCCTGGTAAGGTTTTAATGAGGCAGCATCCCCAAGCGTATTACTGAGATCCTTTGGCATCTACACGGTTATGTCATCCAAGGGGGAGTGTTATAAACCACATGTTGGATGGACTCCATAACCGTGGACCTTATGCATATTCTAGAAGGCCCATGTCCATGTTCTTGAAGATTCTCCTTATGACGGCCTATATTGCCTTATGACGGCCTATATTGTACTTAGTGGGCTTTTGGGCTTTAGGGTTTACTAGCCCAATGGGGATTTGTCTCCCCTCATCATGTAAATCTCATTCATTAATCAATAGAACAACACAGTTTACAACAATTATCTCTAGTTATCCGCATAATTTTTAAAACAGCCGAAAGGTGGAAACTTTGAGAGTGGCGGCGAGATCTGTGAGCTTAAAGGTTCGATCTCTCCCGCAAATAGTGGTGCATGTTTTTGATTGTTTGAATGTTTTGGTTTCGTTTGCTTTAGAAGAAAGGCTCGGTTGGTTTTATGTAGCTTTTTGGTGGTGATTTTTTTTTTTTTTTACAGAATGAGTCTTGTGTTTATTTTCGTTGTTGGCTTTGATCGATAAGTTGCCAAATGATGATTGAAAATTTTGCGCAAGGGTTTTGAGTTTCGGATGATTGGAGGTTAACTCTGATCTGAATGAACCGTGACAAAATCATTTTCTAATAATTCATTCTGATGGCTGCTGATCATTGCTAGATATATCAAATTTGAATTCGATTTTTGGGTACATGATTTGATTTGGATAGTTAATTGGAGTTTGTTTGTTAGTAGAAGCTTGGTTTTGGGGCAGCTTAATGAATTTTAGGATTCAGGTTTTCAATTCTTTTAGCCTTAAATGTTTTGAAATTTTTTGTCTAATGGCTTTGAGTTCCTGAGGATTGAATGTTGTAATTCTGAGGAACTATGAGAAGTCATGTATTCAGGTTCTGCTATTGAGTTCCTGACGGCTGTGATCCAAGAAACTGTGAGAAGTCGTTTTTTTTTCTTCCTATTTTGATGTTTTGGGTTGCAGTGTATTGTTCTATGAGCTACCAGGACTATGCTATATTCTGGTCTGTACATACGTTGCTTTTGATGTGTGGAAATTATGCCTAGTGGATTGGGATTAGCATTCTGTTATCTGAAGGAATCATTGAGGTCATTTACTTCTAAGATCTCATTTACTTCTAAGATCTCATTTATTGGCACCCTCTTACTAGTATCATTTTGAGTTGAGTAATTTGAGTTAGTGACCAGCTCCAAATATGCAAGAAATTGTGAGAATGCATTAGTTTAGTCCTCTTTTCAGGTATCTATAGCCTTAACACTGTAATACTCAAATCTTACATAAGATTTGTTTCAAGGACAATGAAGCATGTTGTAAAGATTTTGAGCCTGCTGGTAGCAGTCTCTACTTTTTGGTTGCTCTTTTG